GTGTGTGTGTGTGTGTGTGTGTGTGTGTGTGTGTGTGTGTGTGTGTGTGTGTGTGTGTGTGTGTGTGTGTGTGTGTGTGTGTGTGTGTGTGTGTGTGTGTGTCATTGATTTCTTACCTTGTATAAGCTACTGTTTGGTTAATTTGCGATAAAAATAAATAAATAAATAAACAAAATAAAATAATTTAAGACAGTTAGGGGGGGAAAGAGAGCAAGAATTGAGTGACATTCAGACGTTTTCGAGTGTGGTTTAAGTGCTCAAAACTCTTCCCGCGCACTGTAAAGCTTTATCTTTATCAGAACTGAGTTCTCACATTGCTATTTTAATCATAACCACATTCTCTGAGCACTGGACGTGTTTCAATCAAAACAGAGCGTTTAGTGTTTAATTAAAGCGGTCTGACTATTACAGTCCCTCCAGAGACAGTCGATCCGTGACAGCAACAACAACCCGCGGTTATGGAAACAATGTGGACAAGCATGCTTATAATAACCGTTATAATAACCGGCTCATATGCAGATCATATTCGCCACAGCATCTGTCAGCATAAGAGTGATGAAGAGCCATAACTGAAGAGTTTCTCAGTCATAACCTGTGATGAATCACTCATAACCACTGCGTGTCATTGAGGCATGTCTTTATTTCGCATTTGTTGTTTTTGTTGACGGATAAAATGTTTTATATCTGGTTATGTTTACAGTCATAACAATGCATGTAGTTAATAATACACATGGAAGCATCTCTGTTTATGTGTTTAAATGTGCATTATGACATTAGTTCATGTTAAAAGTGTCTTTATGCTGCAGAAAATAAATTCATTCATAATTATCTCTAATTATCAGAAGAGTCTCTTCTGCTCACCAGGGCTGTATTTATTTTATAAAAAAATGCAGTAAAATTGTGAAATATTATTCTAATGTAAATCATCTGTTTTCTATGTGAATATACAGTAAAGTGTAATTTATTCCTGTGATCAAAGCTGAATTACTCCAGTCTTCAGTGTCACATGATCCTTCAGAAATCACTCTAATATGAGGATCTGATGCTCAAGAAACATTTATGATTATTATCAGTGTTGAACACAGTTCATATTTTTGTGGAAACTGTCAGGATTCTTTGATGAATGAAAAGTTTAAAAGAACAGCATTTATTTGAAAGAGAATCTTTTGTAACATTATAAATGTCTTTACTGTCACTTTTAATCAATGTAATGCGTCTTAGCTGAATATTAAGTATTTCTTTTTTTAACTTTTGAACTGAAGTTTATCACTGTTTCCACAAAAATATGAAGCAAATCAGCATATTATGATGATTTCTGAAGGGTCATGTGACCAAGGCTCACTGTAGTCTTTCTGTTTCTCAAGTTGTGTGTATGTTTTATACTGCAATAATCATTTCAATTCATTTTCCAGTGCATGAGTACAGTACAGCCGTCCCACATCGGTATCTGGACACATTAATCACACTTATAAATATATAAACGTTATTGGGTCAAACAACAAATGGTCAAAGCAAGTGTGGTTTATTTTAAAGAACAGTAATGCAATCCCTTAATGTGACAACTGTAGGATACATGTACACGCCCTGTCTGTCTGTGTGTGTGTGTGTGTGTGTGTGTGTGTGTGTGTGTGTGTGTGTGTGTGTGTGTGTGTGTGTGTGTGTGTGTGTGTGTGTGTGTGTGTGTGTGTGTGTGTGTGTGTGTGTGTGTGTGTGTGTGTGTGTGTGTGTGTGTGTGTGTGTGACAGGCAAGGTTAGAAACACAGCATCTAAGACTCAAGCTTAAAGGCGTCAGGAATAGCGCTGATGAACACAGACTGACTGAGACTTTATCACGAGCTTCAATCAAGACCAATAAAAACTAATTGCGATTGTCTTTTTTACGGTCTCGTCTCACAGCAATGATGTTCCTCCTCAGTGTTTCTGTCTCGTTTTCCAGCACAAACATCTAAACATTCTTAAATCAAGAGACATTTACTGGAGAAGAAGCAAAATGACTGAAGATATTAAGTAAAATATTTATGAAAATGAAGTGAGTTTGTGCTTAAAATAAGAACAAATATCTGCCAATGGAACAATAATTTGCATGACAAAAAAAAAAACGACTTTTGTACAGTAAATTTTAAAGTATTTTTTTAATGTCATTTTCAACAACAATGAAAACACGTATAATATGACATCAGTGAAAAAAAATTGGTGCAGGATTTATTTAGAAACAATTTTCACACAAAAAATGCTAGTATATTTCACAAACAATTACAAAGAAACACATTAAATTAAACATGGAATTCTGAAGTAGAAAAACTGAAATAGTATATTCTTGTAAAACATACATCAATAATCATTTAGGTTTTTCAACAACTTCAAAAAATCTTCTTTTTTTTTTACAGTACACTGGTGTAGGATTTACTTTGTAACATTTTTCACTCAGAAATTGCTTCTAAATTTCACAAATAATAAAGAAACTGCTAAACAAATAAGCTTCCCACTCAGTGTTTGTCTCGTTTTCCAGCACAAATATCTAAACATTCTTAAATCAAGATACATTTAAAGAAGCAAAATGACTGAAGATATTAAGTTATTTTATGAAAAATGTCTCAAAATTAAGGGAGTTTTTCCTTAAAAAGAAGACCAACTGTAAAATGAGTAAAGACACTTGTAATGTGACATAACTGCTTATTACGTTTGACCAGTAGGTGGCGCTGACACCAAATTGATGAGGTCTGATTATGGTAATATTGGCATCTATGTTCTCTGCATGACCCAAATAATCTATTAAGAGCAGTTTCATTACAATAGGCCAAATTAATCAATCATTATTTGAAATTTAATTTTATGTTTCGACCACAAAGTGGTACTGTCTCAAAACTTTTTGAGTATATTCAGGGCATGGTGCCGATGACAGAGTTCAGTTAACGATACGCCAATGCGTTCATATGATATAGCATTTTGCACTGCATTTTTATCAGTATAGCATTTTATGTCAGCCATTTTGTACGATTAAAAGTGGCTGACGTCCAAAATGGCCAATATGGGTGTCTTTTGACTCGGTATGCTGCACCGAATCTAAAGAGACCAGTTTTGTTCAGAAGCAAAAATAGACATTTTTCATATCTCCTGCCCACTAGGTGGCACTGTGCTGAAACTATCCAGGTTCCCCTCAGGCCATGGTTGCCATAACACACACCAAGTTTGGTCTGAATACGTTAAAGTGTTTCAGAGATATAGCCTCACGTCCACTATGGCATGCTCTTCATAGAATTCGTTATCGAGTTATTCCAAAACGGTTCGCCAATTGACATGAATTTCAGGTTTTTCTGTCGACATGATCTGAAGACATTTTCCGTGACAGAAAATGACCTCATATGATTTAATTGAATTGTCTTGAAGCAAAAAAACAGAAGAGGAAAGAATTATGTTACTAGCCCATATGGTTCAAAAGTTATGAGCATAAATGTGAATGCAGCTTTGAACAGATGGTGGCGCTAGAGAGACTCCAAAATTGGTGTGTTTAATTTTCAGACTGTCATCTATCAGTGTGCCAAATTTCACGGCTCTATGGGCTTCTCTAGACTTCAAAGTGGAAGAAGAAGAACAGTAATGAACACAATAGGTGCCTGAGCACCAATATCTGCCAATAAAAATAACCCAACGCTATCTCACGACCCATTCATACGAGTGAGTAGAAGGTACGATTTGTCTAAACCCACGTGATGTGTAGGTTTAGGGGCGGGGTCTAAAGCCACGTGATAGGTAGGTTTAGGGGCGGGGTCTAAACCCACGTGATGGAGAGGTTTAGGGGCGGGGTCTAAACCCACGTGATGTGTAGGTTTAGGGGCGGGGTCTAAACCCACATGATGGGTAGGTTTAGGGGCGGGGTCTAAACCCACGTGATGGGTAGGTTTAGGGGCGGGGTCTAAACCCACGTGATGTGTAGGTTTAGGGGCGGGGTCTAAACCCACGTGATGGGTAGGTTTAGGGGCGGGGTCTAAACCCACGTGATGGGTAGGTTTAGGGGCGGGGTCTAAACCCACGTGATGGGTAGGTTTAGGGGCGGGGTCTAAAGCCACGTGATGTGTAGGTTTAGGGGCGGGGTCTAAAGCCACGTGATGGGTAGGTTTAGGGGCGGGGTCTAAAGCCACGTGATGGGTAGGTTTAGGGGCGGGGTCTAAACCCACGTGATGGGTAGGTTTAGGGGCGGGGTCTAAACCCACGTGATGGGTAGGTTTAGGGGCGGGGTCTAAACTCACGTGATGGGTAGGTTTAGGGGCGGGGTCTAAAGCCACATGATGGGTAGGTTTAGGGGCGGGGTCTAAACCCACGTGATGTGTAGGTTTAGGGGCGGGGTCTAAAGCCACGTGATGGGTAGGTTTAGGGGCGGGGTCTAAACCCACGTGATGGGTAGGTTTAGGGGCGGGGTCTAAACCCACGTGATGGGTAGGTTTAGGGGCGGGGTCTAAAGCCACGTGATGGGTAGGTTTAGGGGTGGGGTCTAAAGCCACGTGATGGGTAGGTTTAGGGGCGGGGTCTAAACCCACGTGATGGGTAGGTTTAGGGGCGGGGTCTAAACCCACGTGATTGGTAGGTTTAGGGGCGGGGTCTAAACCCATGTGATGGGTAGGTTTAGGGGCGGGGTCTTAACCCACGTGATGGGTAGGTTTAGGGGCGGGGTCTTAACCCACGTGATGGGTAGGTTTAGGGGCGGGGTCTTAACCCACGTGATGGGTAGGTTTAGGGGCGGGGTCAGGTGTAGGTCATTCGTACAAATTCATACGAATTGGGCAACTCATAAAATATGTACGCTTTAGCAAAAATTGAGTGTAGGTAGAGTGAGGTCGTATGAATTCGTACAAATTAGCCACCTTGTAAAATTTGTACGAATTGCCGTGCGATCGGTTTGAATAATCTTGTTTTTCCTTTAAATAAAGCATATTTAGATATTTGCACTGAAAAACTGAGAAAGAAAACCACTATAGAAAAACCGAAAAGTTTTTTTTTGTGCAAAACATAACCTAGTAATCCCCCAATGTCACCATTTATCGTCATGCAGGTTTGAGGTAGCTATAAAGGGCTTTCAGACCTCCTTGCAGAACCTCTTTAATGGGCTTGAGCAGTGGATTGTGGACGATATGCAGGCCTTTATCCAGAGGATGGCAAGCGAGCTTCTCCAGGCGCCTCAGCATGAACATCTCATCAGGAACGCTTTGCAGATTGTTGAAGTCCACGTTGAGGAGCTCCAGGCCCGTCAGACGACACAGCGTCCTGGGAAGCGTGTGAAGCGAGTTCTGCTCCACGATCAGGATCTTGAGGTTCACCAGCTCCTGGATCTTATAACAATCATAACAATAATAACCTTTATTTTCTATAGCGCCTTTAACTGTACATCTCAAAGCGCTTTACAGAAACAAATAAAACAACAAATACACCATATCAAATAATCCACAATATAACATTTAAATTAAAGCAACAAAATACACCATATAAAATAATGTACAGTGAAAAATGTATACAAATATTCAATAAAAAGCTACCCTAAAAAAATTTGTTTTAAGGTAAGATTTAAGAGATTTTGCTTGCCTTATCTCGATTGGTAAAGAATTTCATAGTTTTGGAGCTATTGCAGAAAAAGCCCTATCTCACATCAATCATAAGCGAGTTAAAGCTGCAGTCGGCAAGTCTGGCAGATTGAGTGGACTTAGGCAAAATTTTGAATGTTTACAACTCTCATGCCCCTCCCCCACTCTCAACGGATACCCAACGGAGTTCGTGGTCGTCAGTGTGTGTGCACCAGGTTATCTGTGAACGCGCCCGTCTCATCAGCATCCATCAACACCATGGAGTATTTGGAGGTATGCTGTCCTGGCTAATCTACCGATAGATTGCAATTGCTAAAGTCATTTATACTCTAAATGAGCTTACTTGATTTGTTAGTGTTTTGAAAGCGAGATACATCCGCCATCACTCTTCGTTACTGCGCGAACTTCAGGCGTGTGCATGTGATTGTAACGTGCGCGAGGGGTGGCGTGTGCCCGATCTGTGATTGGCAGTCAGATCTCACACCCCCTGCGCTGATTGGACCCAATGAACCGGGAGCTGTGGATTTTTGCAAAACAAATAACACGCTCCAGGTGGAGTTAGAAGCTCGGGGTTTTTCTAAAACCACTTTATTTATGTTGTTCTGTCGGATTATAGTGTCGATTTCACTGAATATGATCAAAAAAATGTTGCCGACGGCAGCTTTAAAGGAACAAGACCAGTTTCAGAGGATGAAGGTCACGCGTTGGACTATATGGAATTAAAAGTCGTTCAAGTATTGAGATGCCAACCCATGTAACGCCTTGTAAATTAGGTTTAGGGTAGACTTTAAAACTCTGATGCTTACTTACAAGGCTTTTGTAAGTAAGCAACAGTTTATTTTGTATTTCAAGTAACAAAAAGGTATTTTATGTTGTTATAACGGGGAGGAAATGCAGAGACTACAAAATGGGAGTAATGTGATCTCTTATATAGTTCTAGCAGCCGAGTCTACACTTTACCTGCAATTTGTTTAGACGCTCCAGCTAACAACACTGGAAGAAGATTTTCTTACTTAGTATTTTTGTCTTATTTCCAGTCCAAATGTCTAAAAACCTCTTAAATCAAGAAGCATTTACTAGATGAGTAAAATGCCATTCTTGTTTTCTGGGGGGAAATCTAAATAAAGTGAGTATTTGTAGAAATAATCAGGAACATCCAAGGCACTCTCTTTAGAAAAGTTAAAAAGCCTTTAATACTATGGCTTGGTCATACTCAACACTATTAAAACAGTCCGACGCGTTTCGGCATACAAGCCTTCGTCCGGGAGTCCGTGAGTATTTGCTTTAAAAAAAAAGTAAAATGATCTGCCAATGGGGTAAGAAAAATAATCTTGTTTCTGTTTGAATTAACATTATGTTTCTTACCCCATTGCTAGATCATTTTACTTTTTTTTTAAAGCAAATACTCACGGACTCCCGGACGAAGGCTTGTATGCCGAAACGCGTCGGACTGTTTTAAAGGAAAAACTCACTTTATTTAGATCCCCCCCCCCCCCCCCCCCCTAGAAAACAAGAGATAATATCTAAAGGCATTTTCCTACTTTATTAAATCCATCTTGATTTAAGAGTTTTTAGACATTTGGACTGGACATTTGGACATTTTTTGCAGTGAAGGCATTACAATAATCAACTCAAAGGTGTTAATCGGCCTCTCAGCTACCTTATCTGCGAGGTTCTCCAGCTGGTTGTTGGCCAGATGTAGGAACACGAGGCTCTTCATGCTGTACACGCAGGCCGGGATGAGCTGGATGCGGTTGTGGCTGAGGTTGAGCTTGGCGAGTTTGCGCATGTTGGACAGGCTGTTGGGAAGCGTGCTGATCTGGTTATTGGCCAGACTCAAGACCTCGAGGTTGGAGCAGTCTCCGAGCTCCTCCGGGACGTCGTGTAACCGGTTCCTGTGGGCGAAAAGCACTCGTAGATTCCCGAGCCGTCCGATCTCAGGCGGGAGCTCCACTAACTCATTCCCCCACAGATTAAGAACCACCAGGTTCTCCAGATTCCCAAGGCCTGATGGTAAAAGCGGCAGCGCGTTTAAGGAGAGGTTGAGCTTCTGGAGCTCTTGGAGTTCCCACAGTTCTTCGGGCATCTCCTCCAGACCTCGCATGGCCAGGCTGAGCGTGCTGTAGCCCAAATGTCTGATTGCATGTTTGCGAATCCGATCAACAGAGGATAGATTTTCAACGCAACTCGTCTTCCGACGCAACGGCCTCTTTGAATCGTCGGAGTTGCACTTTCGTGCGACGGTTCTTGGTGCGACTTCGCTGCTCGCATGCTGTTGCTTTGAGATGTTTTGCCTCAAGAAAAACATCTTTCTGATCGATGTCTGATAATTTGATTTGCACGTTCAGTACGTTCTCAAAGTTTAACCTCGACCAGCAGTGTCAGTCATGCTGCGAGCGGATGAAATGCTCTTGTTTGTTCACTTTATGTCCCGTTGTGAGGTCTGAATCTGTGTCCGGCTGGTTAAAGACAAGTTTAAATGTGAAGAGCGTTCAGAGTGACGTTTGCATGAGCAGCTGTTATTGTCACTACAGCTGAACTGAAGCCCTTAATGCAGATAAGCAATGGAATCACTGCAAAGTCATTAAACCCTCTTCTAAATACACTCATGCGTATTTATACACACCTCCATTACTGACCTGCGTGCCAGGGTTGTTATTGCTAAATACAACTAAAATAAAATACATCAAATACATTTGTGTTACTTGAAATACAAAACATTCAAATAAAAAATTTAATAAAATTTAATAAAATAAAAAAATATATTCAATTAAATTTAAACATTATTACAAATTATTAAAAAATTTAACTAGTTGCCAATGGAAACTAATAAATACAAATGAATAAATACTATATAGACATATTCAAAATTATAATAATAGTAATACACCTCCATTAGCAGATGTGCATGCAAGGGTTATTATTGGTAACTAAAACTAAAATAAAATACCTTTTCTAAAATGCCTAGACCTAAATAATACGACATTAATAAACTAAAATAAATAGCTTAAATAGTTCAAAATAACTCAAATAAAAAAATAAAACTAATAAATAAAAATGAATATTATATAGACATATTTTTAAAAAATTATAATAATAATAATACACTTCCATTAGCAAATGTTGACTAAAATAAAATAAATAAAAAACTTTAGCTTATTTTATTTCAGCTAGTAAAAAATAACAAAAACTAAATAAACTAAAACTAATCAATACAAACACTGTATAGGCATATACACTCACCTATAGGATTATTAGGAACACCATACTAATACTGTGTTTGACCCCCTTTCGCCTTCAGAACTGCCTTAATTCTACGTGGCATTGATTCAACAAGGTGCTGAAAGCATTCTTTAGAAATGTTGGCCCATATTGATAGGATAGCATCTTGCAAATGATGGAGATTTGTGGGATGCACATCCAGGGCACGAAGCTCCCGTTCCACCACATCCCAAAGATGCTCTATTGGGTTGAGATCTGGTGACTGTGGGGGCCATTTTAGTACAGTGAACTCATTGTCATGTTCAAGAAACCAATTTGAAATAATTCGAGCTTTGTGACATGGTGCATTATCCTGCTGGCAGTAGCCATCAGAGGATGGGGACATGGTGGCCATAAAGGGATGGACATGGTCAGAAACAATGCTCAGGTAGGCCGTGGCATTTAAACGATGCCCAATTGGCACTAAGGGGCCTAAAGTGTGCCAGGAAAACATCCCCCACACCATTACACTACCACCACCAGCCTGCACAGTGGTAACAAGGCATGATGGATCCATGTTCTCATTCTGTTTACGCCAAAATCTGACTCTACCATCTGAATGTCTCAACAGAAATCGAGACTCATCAGACCAGGCAACATTTTTCCAGTCTTCAACTGTCCAATTTTGGTGAGCTCTTGCAAATTGTAGCCTCTTTTTC